GTGGTGGTTATAGCGTGTCATAGTGGTGAGAGACTGGTAATAGTGGTGGTTATAGCGTGTCATAGTGGTGACAGACTGGTAATAGTGGTGGTTATAGCGTGTCATAGTGGTGACAGACTGGTAATAGTGGTGGTTATAGCGTGTCATAGTGGTGACAGACTGGTAATAGTGGTGGTTTATAGCGTGTCATAGTGGTGACAGACTGGTAATAGTGGTGGTTATAGCGTGTCATAGTGGTGACAGACTGGTAATAGTGGTGGTTATAGCGTGTCATAGTGGTGACAGACTGGTAATAGTGGTGGTTATAGCGTGTCATAGTGGTGACAGACTGGTAATAGTGGTGGTTATAGCATGTCATAGTGGTGACAGAGCGGGAGTAAAGTAAGGCTTGTAGAAACGTAAGACTTTTCTCTGTTCTCCATCATGCAGAATCAGACCAATAATGCATCCCAAATGGCACCATATTATTCCCTATATAGTGCACTATTTTTGACCCGAGCCCTATGAGCCCTGGTCAAAATAAGTGCACTATATAGGGAATAGAGGACACTATATAGGGAATATGGTGCTATTTGGGACACACCCCATGCCTGAATGAAGCTATTACTATAATGCATATCCTCTCAGATCTACATGAGTACCTATAGGACGTAGTGGGCAGGGGTTGATTTGGAGTTCAGAACAAGAAGATACTGAACTTTGGTAGCCTGGGGATACCTGTCTCTACTAGCTCTTTAAGAACACAATAAAGACAGTACACCATGATGATGCAAAATAAAACTGTCATCCCTCAAGACCTGGTGAATTATTGTCATATCAATGTTATAACACAGTTCCAGGATAGCCTATTTTAGCCTCAAATTTGTAGCCTAATGCATTTCTCCATCATTTGAAATTAAGTAGCAAATACTTAATAATGGTTGTAAGGGATGTATTTATATATATAAAGTCTATGGATTTATGTAGTGGGAGATTGCCGTCTCCTGGTCAATTGTGAGAGCAATTGAAATTGTAGAGTCAAGGTATCAAAACAACTATTGAGATTGACTCCGCGGACTAGTCTGCCTCCTTGTCTCCTCGCTATCACGCCTGCGCTCAGAGTTACAAGATGGCGGAGAGTGCGGAACTGAAGGTAAAGCGTAGGCCGAAATTACATTTGACAAAAAAAGGCTGTATTTTGCATTTAAGTCATCCCCGTGGGTTACATGGAGTTGGAATTTTCTTTATTTGAGGATTTACTTTATTTGTTATAGGGTATGTTTTTAATTTTTGTAGAAAACTCTGTGGAAGTCGTAGGTAGCATTGTTATTGTTAGATAGCTACGATGATGAGTCTTGCCTGCCTCGCAGCTTGATGCTAGCGAATTACAGTTGTAAGCTAGCTAGCTAACTAGATGTGTGCTTAGTTTACCAGTTTCGCCAGTTAATATTTCATATAAATGTGTAATACGTTGCCAGAACCTTGTTATACCAGCCAGAACCGCCTATTATTTTCCCGCCAGTCAACATTTTCCAGCCAAAGAGCCTTTGCTCGGCCCCAATGTAATGTTAGCTAATAAGCTAGCTAGCTACCTAGCATTGATCCAGGCCGGGAGAATCGGCCTGGACCAGACGGCAGATGTGTAGCTAGCTGATAACTTCCAGTTGAAAGTGTCGACTTTTCCCCCACGATTAGCAGTTAGATAATCCGCTGATTTAGAATAACGAATTACGAGAGTGACGTCAAATATGATCACTACAGGTGGGTGGTGTCAAAAAGTGACTAGCTAGCTAACTAGAGTAACGTTAGCTACCACGGTTAGCCATAGCTAGCCAACGAGCTATTTTAGCCAAAACATTTAGCTAGTAAACTGTTTTTCAGAATGTGCCCATTCGAATTCGACGTTTGCTTTTTAGCTGAAGTCTAGGTTGAAGATGGCAAGGGTATCAGGTAACTTCCAACGTCAAACGTTACATTACTGACACTAATAGAAACTCTCTGAGCCTCTGTCCCGAGGCCGCTTATCAACCTGTTACTTTAATTGTGTGAAATATAAATTACGGAGTGACAACAAAGACAGAACTAGTAGGCTAGTCTTATGTGTGATCAGAAGCACCCTCCGTGCTTTTGCCTGTACAGTGAAACCAAATAGCCCAGATGCGTCTGTAAACACACCTGTAATGATTTGGTGTTTGTGAGTGATGACAGTTACCACCAACCTATTTTAATGTAACCCTATAACGAAACTGAAACGAGTAGTTGTGAGCCAAGGAGATATGCCTTGATATTTAATGCGATGTAAGGTACCGTTCTAGGATGTGTGAAGGCTGAGGAAAAAACGATTGCATGTCTCTGTTGATGATGTATAATTATTAGGTGATGTTAGTTTTTGGGGTTGGCTACCTATCCGCTATGCTTCCCTGTAATCTCACCCATCTGGAGTTCGTCAGGGGCTGTGTGGAGAATCTGATCTCTTTTTGAAGCTTCCTCACAGAGTTTTCTACAAAAATGAAATGGTAGAGATAGTATTTCCCTCCCCCTTTACCGCAGAGTCAGATCTTCTCTCCTTTCTAAAGATGGATACACCATTTAATTCACTTTGAAAAATACAAATGTTTTAGGCAGACAAGCTTTTTCCTCTCTTTTGGTGACTGTTAATGCTGAATGGGTGTCCACTGTCCAGCATGAGTAGCCTACTAAGTAGACAGTTTAGCTAAGACCTCCACTGTAGGCTAAAGCTGCTGATACGGCCATTTATTCACTTTGTAGGCTACCACAGCACTTCTCTTTCCATGTCTTTCACTTCCAAGCCATGTCACCCACCATCTCAGATTGTTCTGAAATTATTTCTGTAGTTAGAAACATAATATTAGCATTCCAGAAACATTATTTTGTTGAAATATAATTTGATCTCTGAGAAATTAAGCTAATTGATTGCACCCAAATTGGCCATTTTAATTTATAGGATTCATATAATCTTCAAAAAAATATAGTACTTAACATCTGATTTTGACCATAATTCTTCCTAACAATGAGTAAGGCATGAGGAATCCAATAAAATGATCAATAGCCACCCACAGACCCCCACCCCAACAACCAGTATACAGCAGATCAATAGCCACCCACAGACCCCCACCCCAACAACCAGTATACAGCAGATCAATAGCCACCCACAGACCCCCACCCCAACAACCAGTATACAGCAGATCAATAGCCACCCACAGACCCCCACCCCCAACAACCAGTATACAGCAGATCAATAGCCACCCACAGACCCCCCACCCCAACAACCAGTATACAGCAGATCAATAGCCACCCACAGACCCCCACCCCAACAACCAGTATACAGCAGATCAATAGCCACCCACAGACCCCCACCCCAACAACCAGTATACAGCAGATCAATAGCCACCCACAGACCCCCACCCCAACAACCAGTATACAGCAGATCAATAGCCACCCACAGACCCCCCACCCCAACAACCAGTATACAGCAGATCAATAGCCACCCACAGACCCCCACCCCAACAACCAGTATACAGCAGATCAATAGCCACCCACAGACCCCCACTGCTGCTTGGAGTATTGCTTCTTCATCCTTTGTGATGTATTCCCTGTGAGTCTGGTGATGGTTTTCTTCCCCTGTTCAGAGACATTAGCCATTGAAGTTGCTTTCAATCTTTACCATAAATGAGTGTGAAAGTACCACGTTTTGCCCACTAGATGCCGCTGTTCCTGCTACTGTCATAACCACACCCTTTTATCAATTTTGATGGTCTCTTGTGTGGATCACAACATTTTCTTTGCAACTTTGGGTAGAAAACCAATAGCTTTTGCTCACGATGAAAATAAATTGTGTGGTCAAGCGGATGTTAAGTACTATATTTATTGAAGATTATCCTGTAAATTAAAATGGCCAATTTGAGTGCAATCATTTAGCTTAATTTCTCAGAGATCAAATTATATTTCAACAAAATAATGTCTCAGGAATGCTAATCTTATCTGTTTTTAACTACAGAAACGATTTCAGAACAATCTGAGATGGTGGGTGTCAATCTGCTTTCTTGTGCTTTTTGAGGTGGAATGACTGCTGTTTTGTCAAGTGAAGGCTATGTTCTGGTTGTAGTTTGTGTAGAGGAGAGACCCATGTCCTCCGATCACCTCAGAATGAATCTATCGATAAAGCATCTTAGAGTAGGAGTCCTGATCTAGGATCAGTTTTGCCTTTTCGAATCATAATGATTAAAATGATACAGACAGGTGGGACCTGATCCTAGATCACCACTCCTACTCTGAGACGCTTTATGAGTACGGGCCCTGGTCTCTGTCTGGCCTGCTCTGGAGTCTGGCCTGTTCTGGAGTCTGGCCTGCTCTGGAGTCTGGCCTGCTCTGGAGTCTGGCCTGCTCTGGAGTCTGGCCTGCTCTGGAGTCTGGCCTGTTCTGGAGTCTGGCCTGCTCTGGAGTCTGGCCTGCTCTGGAGTCTGGATTCTGGCCTACTCTGGTCTCTGGATTCTGGCCTACTCTGGAGTCTGGCTTACTCTGGTCTCTGGAGTCTGGTCTGGGGTCTGGCCTACTGTGGCGTGGCCTACTCTGGTCTCTGGAGTCTGGCCTGCTCTGGAGTCTGGCCTACTCTGGTCTCTGGAGTCTGGCCTACTCTGGTCTCTGGAGAGAAGTCTGGCCTGCATCCTTCTTCACAAGCTGTCTCTGCTACTCCGTGTCTTGTTAAATTAAGTCCCATATCCCTTCAGTGTTCTGATGTAGTTCTCTCATGAAGCCTGCTTGCCCTGAGACGTCTAGAGCAAGTAGCCTGCCAGCCTAGCTGTCGGTGGTAAAATAAACACACTTGGCCATCACAACATAATTGATAGTTTCATAAGTTGTAAAATACCGGTTGATTGTCCGTTTACTCACACAAGTTGTGTTCCCCAAAATGTAGCTTTGCAGTGAGACAAAGCCGGAGTTTAATGGCAGCATGTTGCTCTGGTAATAATACTGACGCTCCTTTTCCTCTTCCAAAGCAAATGGTGATGAGCCTTCGTGTTTCAGAGCTACAAGTGTTACTAGGCTACGCAGGACGCAACAAGCACGGCCGCAAACACGAACTGCTGACCAAAGCCCTACACCTCCTCAAGGCCGGCTGCAGCCCCGCTATCCAGATGAAGGTGAAGGAGCTCTACAGACGCCGCTTCCCCACCAAGATGGTGTCTCCGGTGGACCTGGCCCTGCCCAGTGTCCACTCCACCCTGCCTGGAGGCCTCACCTCGCTGGGGTTTGACAGCCACGGGTCCCCCTCGCCCCTCTCCCTGCTGGGGCCCAAACACGAGCTGGGCCTGCCCCACCTTCCCTCCTCCCTGCACCCCGTACACTCTGACGTCAAGCTGCAGAGACTTACCTCCACCCTGCACCCCGTACATCCTGACGTCAAGCTGCAGAGACTTCCCTTTTACGACATGCTGGATGAGCTCATCAAACCCACCAGCCTGGGTGAGTAGTCTGGTCCATGGATGTCTGTCTGTTAGTTAGGCCATCACAGGGTTGGCTTCTCATGGATGTCTGTCTGTTAGTTAGGCCATCACAGGGTTGGCTTCTCATGGATGTCTGTCTGTTAGTTAGGCCATCACAGGGTTGGCTTCTCATGGATGTCTGTCTGTTAGTTAGGCCATCACAGGGTTGGCTTCTCATGGATGTCTGTCTGTTAGTTAGGCCATCACAGGGTTGGCTTCTCATGGATGTCTGTCTGTTAGTTTAGGCCATCACAAGGGTTGGCTTCTCATGGATGTCTGTCTGTTAGTTAGGCCATCACAGGGTTGGCTTCTCATGGATGTCTGTCTGTTAGTTAGGCCATCACAGGGTTGGCTTCTCATGGATGTCTGTCTGTTAGTTAGGCCATCACAGGGTTGGCTTCTCATGGAAGAAGGTGGATTATCCACACAGTCTGTGATAGAATTCAACAGTATCTTTCTTTAATCACTTTACCTTTTGTACTCTGCACCTGCAGGTTAGTGGATGTACTTCTAAATGTGCTTCTCGTGAACCCACATGAGAATTGTAATGTCGTTGTCTGTCTTGTTGAGCGGGGTATGGTGACTATTCATCCTGTCGTTGTCTGTCTTGTTGAGCGGGGTATGGTGACTATTCATCCTGTCGTTGTCTGTCTTGTTGAGCGGGGTATGGTGACTATTCATCCTGTCGTTGTCTGTCTTGTTGAGCGGGGTATGGTGACTATTCATCCTGTCGTTGTCTGTCTTGTTGAGCGGGGTATGGTGACTATTCATCCTGTCGTTGTCTGTCTTGTTGAGCGGGGGTATGGTGACTATTCATCCTGTCGTTGTCCTGTCTTGTTGAGCGGGGTATGGTGACTATTCATCCTGTCGTTGTCTGTCTTGTTGAGCGGGGTATGGTGACTATTTCATCCTGTCGTTGTCCTGTCTTGTTGGGAGCGGGGTATGGTGACTATTCATCCTGTCGTTGTCTGTCTTGTTGAGCGGGGTATGGTGACTATTCATCCTGGTCGTTGTCTGTCTTGTTGAGCGGGGGTAATGGTGACTATTCATCCTGTCGTTGTCTGTCCTTGTTGAGCGGGGTCTGGTGACTATTCATCCTGTCGTTGTCTGTCTTGTTTGAGCGGGGTATGGGTGACTATTCATCCTGGTCGTTGTCTGTCTTGTTGAGCGGGGTATGGTGACTATTCATCCTGTCGTTGTCTGTCTTGTGAGCGGGGTATGGTGACTATTCATCCTGTTGTTGTCTGTCTGTTGAGCGGGGTATGGTGACTATTCATCCTGTCGTTGTCTGTCTTGTTGAGCGGGGTATGGTGACTATCATCCTGTCGTTGTCTGTCTTGTTGAGCGGGGTATGGTGACTATTCATCCTGTCGTTGTCTGTCTTGTTGAGCGGGGTATGGTGACTATTCATCCTGTCGTTGTCTGTCTTGTTGAGCGGGGTATGGTGACTATTCATCCTGTCGTTGTCTGTCTTGTTGAGCGTGTATGGTGACTATTCATCTGTCGTTGTCTGTCTTGTTGAGCGGGTATGGTGACTATTCATCCTGTCGTTGTCTGTCTTGTTGAGCGGGGTATGGTACTATTCATCCTGTCGTTGTCTGTCTTGTTGAGCGGGGTTTTGGTGACTATTCATCCTGTCGTTGTCTGTCTTGTTGAGCGGGGTATGGTGACTATTCATCCTGTCGTTGTCTGTCTTGTTGAGCGGGGTATGGTGACTATTCATCCTCTCTTTGTGTTCTTTTGTCCACAGCCTCAGACAACAGTCAGCGGTTTCAGGAGACGTGTTATGCCTTTGCATTGACACCTCAGCAGGTCCAGCAGATCAGCAGCTCCATGTAAGACTGAGGGGAGGGGAGGAGAGTGTAGGGGGGGAGAGTAGAGGGGGAGAAGGGGAGGAGAGTGTAGGGGAGGAGAGTAGAGAGGGGAGGGGAGGTGGAGGGGAGGGGAGGTGGAGGGGAGGAGAGGTGGAGGGGAGGAGAGTAGAGGGGGAGAAGGGGAGGAGAGTAGAGGGGGAGAGGGGAGGGGAGGTGGAGGGGAGAGAATAACTAAGGACTGACTGCTGTACATGATGCCCCTATCTAAACCAATAAAACACACAGAACCACTGAGCATGTCTGTCTTTACGATATCTCCCTCAGAAACAGGATGTGACGTTTCAATTCATATTCGCACTAGGCGTAATGTTCGTTATGCAAAGGAACATAGACATGGAAAAAATACAGTTTATAAACTGCAAATCGATCCACGTGAGGCAATTGCGAGTTGCAGTATTTGAAACATGCATTGGATAATGGTATAATACCTTCCCGTCTACTTGAAAGTTATGTTTATTTTGCTCACTGCTCCTTGCTTGACTTCTCACCTAAACCTCCTGTCTGGCTGGCTGGCTGGCTGGCTGGCTGTCTGTCTGTCTGTCTGTCTGTCTGTCTGTCTGTCTGTCTGTCTGTCTGTCTGTCTGTCTGTCTGTCTGTCTGTCTGTCTGTCCTGTCTGTCCTGTCTGTCCTGTCTGTCCTGTCTGTCCTATCTATCTATCTATCTATAGGGACATCTCTGGGACCAAGTGTGACTTTGCGGTCCAGGTTCAGTTAAGGTAAGGATCCTGTGGTGTTCTAGCCTGTTCTGTATTTATTTCACCTCTATTCACTGTATGACTTGTATTCACTGTAGGACTTGTATTCACAGTATGACTTGTATTCACAGTATGGCTTGTATTCACTGTATGACTTGTTCACCAAGTAAAGTAGAGAAATGCCTGCGCTACTAAACGTCTTTATGAGATGGAGGCTCATCTAGGTAGTCAATATGACCACTGACTGACTATTGTCTATTACTGGGTCTGTCATTTTGAATTGGTTATTGGATTTGTCATTCATATTGATCTCTGGTATTGGTTATTGATCTCTGTATGTTCTCTCCCAGGTTTTGTTTATCAGAGACGAGCTGTCCCCAGGAGGATCATTTCCCATCCAACCTGTGTGTGAAAGTTAACAACAAGCCCTGCAACCTCCCGGTGAGTCTGTCTGACAGCAGACTGTTAACTACCACACATTAAGCCAGTGTTTCCTGGCCCTGGGGACCTAAAGGAGTGCATCCTGGTCCTGGGGACCTAAAGGGGTGCATCCTGGTCCTGGGGACCTAAAGGGGTGCATCCTGGTCCTGGGGACCTAAAGGGGTGCATCCTGGTCCTGGGGACCTAAAGGGGTGCATCCTGGTCCTGGGGACCTAAAGGGGTGAATCCTGGTCCTGGGGACCTAAAGGGGTGAATCCTGGTCCTGGGGACCTAAAGGGGTGAATCCTGGTCCTGGGGACCTAAAGGGGTGAATCCTGGCCCTGGGGACCTAAAGGGGTGCATCCTGGTCCTGGGGACCTAAAGGGGTGCATCCTGGTCCTGGGGACCTAAAGGGGTGCATCCTGGTCCTGGGGACCTAAAGGGGTGAATCCTGGTCCTGGGGACCTAAAGGGGTGCATCCTGGTCCTGGGGACCTAAAGGGGTGCATCCTGGTCCTGGGGACCTAAAGGGGTGCATCCTGGTCCTGGGGACCTAAAGGGGTGCATCCTGGTCCTGGGGACCTAAAGGGGTGCATCCTGGCCCTGGGGACCTAAAGTCCATTTTAGAATAAGGCTGTAACGTAACAAAATAAGGGAAAGGGTTCTGAATACTTTCTGAATGCGCTGTATATATCACTGTTAGAACTGCATACGCTCTTATTCAAAGGGCTTTACAGTACATACATTTTTTGTATGTTTGTGATCCCTTCGAGAATTGAACCCACAACCTTGGAGTTGCTAGCGCCAACTCAAACCAACTGACATTGACCCTGTTGTCTCCTCTTCCTCCTCAGGGCTACCTTCCTCCAACCAAAAACGGAGTGGAACCCAAACGGCCGAGTCGCCCCATCAACATCACGTCACTGGTCAGACTGTCCACCACAGTGCCCAACACTATCGTGGTGTCATGGACCTCAGAGATAGGCAGGGTAAGGAATATATTGTGCTGTCATGGGCCTCGGAGAAAGGCAGGGTAAGGAATGGAGGGTGATTAGCGTTAGAAAATTCTGGTAACTTGCCCAAAATTCACAGGTTTAAAAAATAATAATCTGGTTGGTAGAGTCAGAAGGGAATAAACAGGAAATCCAGAATCCTCCAACAAGGATTTTTAGAAAACCTGGGAATTTTGGGAAGTTCCCATAATTTAGCCTCCCTAAAGATGACTGGCTGACTGACTGTTAAAGGAAATCTGTGGCATGAGATAACATGATATCTTATTTATTAGGTATTTGCCACTGTGAAGCCAAAGGCACATTTCCACATTGCATGGATTATAAATTGTTATATTCTATTGCATGGAATACCAACTGTTAATTTGCGTATTCTGCAAAACAAAAATATACGTTCTTTACCTTAAACAATATGCAGCTTTTTCTCTAAAGTACAATCCACAGTAGTACTAAAAAGCTGATTTACCATAATTTGATTGTAGCATCATTTCGTTTTCAGTATTTTTAAAGTAAATATACATTCTCATATTTATGAATAAAAAAACGGCTGCCATTTAAAGGGGTGGTACACCAAAATGTGAAATATACTTAGTGCTTTCAGAAAGTATTCATAATAATAATAATATGCCATTTAGCAGACGCTTTTATCCAAAGTGACTTAGTCATGTGTGCATACATTTTTACGTATGGGTGGTCCCGGGGATCGAACCCACTACCCTGGCATTACAAGCGCCGTGCTCTACCAATTGAGCTACAGAGGACCACATTCCACATTTTGTTGTTACAGCCTGAATTCAATTTATTTTTTTGATTTTCTCTCTCAACCATCTACACACAATAACCTATAATGACAAATTGAAAACATGTTTTTAGAAATGTTAGCAAATTTATTGAAAATGAAATACAGACATTTCTCATTTACATAAGTATTCACATCCCTGAGTCAGTACTTTGTAGAAGCACATTTGGGCGGCGATTACAGCTTTGAGTCGTCTTGGGTTTGTCTGTATCAGGTTTGCACATCTGGATTTGGGGATTTTATCCCATTCTTCCTTGCAGATTTTGTCAAGCTCTGTTAAGTTAGATGGGGAGTGGCGGTCAACAGCAATCTTTCCACAGATTCAAGTCTGCTTTCGCTGGGCCACACAAGAACTTTCCCATTCTTGTTCTGAAGCCATTCCAGTGTTGCTTTGGCTGTATGCTTGGGTTCATTTTCCAGTTGGAACGTAAATCTTCACCCCAGTCCTAAGGTCGTTTGCACTCTGAAGCAGGTTCTCATCAAGGATTTGTCTGTATTTGGCTCCATTCATTGTTCCCTCTATCCTTATCAGTCTCCTAGTTCCTGCTGCTGAAAATCATCCCCATATCATGATGCTGCCACCACCATGCTTCACGGTAGGGATGGTGTTAGACGGGTGATGAGCTGTGCCTGGTTTTCTCCAGTCATAGCTCTTTGTATTCATGCCAAAGAGTTCAATTGAATGTCTCATCAGATCACATCATCTTTTGCCTTATGCTCCGAGTCTGTCACTTGCCTTTTTTGCCAACTCCAGGCGATCTGTCATGTGCCTTTTTCTCAGGAGTGGCTTCCGTCTGGCCTCTCTCCCATAAAGCCCAGATTGGTGTAGTGCTGTAGAGACTGTTGTCCTTCTGGCATGTTCTCCCATCTCAGCCAAGGAACTCTGTAGTTCTGTCAGAGTGGCCATTGGGTTCTTGGTCACCTCCCTTGACCAAGGTCCTTCTTGCCCGGTTGCTCAGTTTGGTTGGACGGCCAGCTCTAGGCAGAGTCATATTTGTTTCAATTTCCCAATGTGCTCTTGGAAACTTTCAACAATCTAGAAATTAAGGCTGAACGATTTTGGAAAATAATCTAATTGCGATTTTTTGCCCCCAATATTGCGATTGCGATTTAATATGCGATTTAATTTATTTATCCTTTTTCCCCTACAAAACATAATGAATGATTTAAATATGACCAACACAATAGTATATACATTTAGTGTGAAATGTTCTTTCCCATAGGCTGGGTCTATTTGTTAGAATTAAATTCAAACATGTATGACTTGAAATAAATGACATTTTTATTGAACTGCTCATTACAGAAACATCTGTGGCTTTGCCACTGTGCATTTAAATAATTTAAACAAAGGCATGAACTTTGTAAACACTGTGTGCAAAAGGTACAGTCTTAAGAAAAAAATAATTTTAAATTGTATGTATCTTACTGCTCCCAAGTCAGTAACATTTCACACAACTGAAACAAGGAATTTGCTTTGAAAATATTTTGTAAAATCAAAGTAAATAAAGTTATAAGTAAAAAATGAGAAATGCACTTTTAATTTAGACAAACTATTTTTTATAAACGATTTGAATATTATAATATAAAATAGATGAGCCTCACTTATCTCAAGTACACAACAATAACACACCACACAGACTAAAGTTCACTACGAGTATGGCACTGCCAGCCATACTTATCCAACAGTTCTGTTCTCAGTGGCTCACAGGTTTTTTGCTAAGAAAACCAGAATATTGACTTTTTCTGGCTTCAAGGCTGAGCGAGTGCAAGTCACAATATTCCCTCCTGTGCTAAAAAGACGCTCTGAGGGAGCGCTTGTAGCAGGTACACAAAGATACTTGCGTGCCATGGTGCACAACTGTGGGTAGCTGATCTTGTGCACCCTCCACCAAGCCAATGGATCATCTTCTCCATCAATGGTAGGAGTCATCAGGTAATTGTTTATCTCTGCCTCTGCGACATCTTCAAGATTTACAGGCAAAGAAGGAGAGGCTGAACTGGTCTTGAAAAAACTGCCAAGAGACCTCTTCGTCTTTTCCCCCAAGGACTGTGCACTTTGAGGCATCTGAACAGTTTCAGTACGAGACCTCTTCTCCTATTAGATGAAAACAACAGCCATTAGTTTTCCAGTTAGATTTTACAGAAAATTTTTGTTTTTGTGAAATACATAATTATTTACCCAATGATATGTACGTTGTGCCAAGTCTACTATCTCTGTCTTCAGACGAGTCTTGATAGCAGGGATGTTGTCTGTACTGATGTACTGTATTTTGAACCTAGGGTCCAGGAAACAGGCAACATCCAAAAGCTCCTGGATGTTTGGGTCTCCATATTTGTTATTGAGGTATGCTAGGACTTTGGTTTTTATTGATTTAGTCAGGTCAGTGTCCTCAGCATCTTCAGCCAGGACTGATGTGGCAAAAAGGTGGAGAACTGGCTTGAGGTAGGAGATGCTTACATACTCCTCTCCAGAAAGAGCATCAGTAAACTCCAGTAGAGGATGCAGTGCCTTGTGAATCGACTCCAACACGTCAATATCCTGCCAGGTTGGGATAAGGGAGCGTGCATATCGATCTCCAGACAATACCTGAGAAATGGCTTTGGCCTGTTCAAGCACTCTGGCATCATAATTTCTTTAGAACCCCATCTTGTTGGGCACTCCGTTATGAGGTTGTGCTCAGGGAGTTTGAGCTCTCTCTGTGCCTCCGTCAGGGCTGCTTTCTTCTTCCAACTGTGGGAAAAGTGCCCCACCAGCTTCCTGCACAGTGCTGTTGCCCTTGACACTCTGTCATCTTTGAGTGCATTTTCTAAAATAAATAAAAAGTAGTGTATTACAACACAATTTGAGTTTTGATACAAGGCTCTCACTATTACACACTCAAATTAGCTGTAATTCTGAAATACACACATCCACAACACATCCTCTCTCTCTCTCTCAATTCAAAGGGTCTTTATTTGCATGTCAATTCTCTCTCTCTTTCTCTCTCTCTCTCTCTCATAAACACTAAAAAACATGTAAAAAACAAAAACAAGAAAAGAAAAAAAATGCAGGTGGGCATTCCACCACAGACAGACATATGATATAAGCAAGTAAAATGAATTTACATATTAGAAAAGGAGTGGAAGTATGAATTTATTTAATCCCATCCGATTTATATAATATCATTTATATATATTTGTATATTCAGCTTTACTAATCGACGCATCTCTCTCTCTCGCACTCGCGCACACACACACACACACACACACACAAACACACACACACACACACACACACACACACACACGATAACTTACCAATGGCAAGATGTAATCTGTGGCCAAAACATTGGAGCCTCGTCCATTCATTAAGCCGCGCAGCAAGCACCATATTCGACGCGTTGTCCGTCGTGATGCAGACGTGATTCTCCTCGTGGAGATCCCAGCTGACAAGCCCTTCTCTCAGGCCGGCTGCAATATTTTCCCCTGTGTGATCGTCTGGGAAGTAGGTAGTTTGTAGGCAGCGAGCTCGGAGGTTGAAATCTTCATCAATAAAATGGACTGTAAGACTCTGGTACGGCTCAGCTGTGCGGCTTGACCACATTACATTTTACATTTACATTTTAGTCATTTAGCAGACGCTCTTATCCAGAGCGACTTACAGTTAGTGAATGCATACGTTTGTTTTTTGTTTTTCATACTGGCCCCCCGTGGGAAACGAACCCACATCCCTGCCGGCCAAACCCTCCCCTACCTCGGACGACGCTGGACCAATTGTGCGCCGCCCATGGGTCTCCCGGTCGTGGCCGGCTGCGACAGAGCCTGGACTCGAACCAGGATCTCTAGTGGCACAGCTAGCACTGCGATGCAGTGCCTTAGACCACTGCGCCACTCGGGAGTCATGACACACAGAGAGCCATGTATTTAGAGAGTCGGGACATTGAGGTTCCTGCATTATGATGATTTACATGACACTAGAAAATATGGCAGCCATGACATTACATGGCAGTCTTACGTCAGATAGAGCGACGATTCCGCCTGCACTGGTCCCTGTTGAGGGACGAGCGTCGCGTAGGAGTGACGCCACCTTTCTTGTTACTGCTCTAATTAAGTTGGTAACTAGTTTAGAATAGCAATAAGGCACCTCGGGGGTTTGTGGTATATGGACAATATACCACAGCTAAGGGCCGTATCCAGGCA